CCCCTGCTTCTCACTGAGGACTCCTGCTAATACTCAGACTTTGCTCCAAGGCTGAGTAACAGCTCACCATTTGCCAAATGCATGCCCCTCCCAACCCCCCACTCTGCTCTCAGTCTGGTGGACACATGCTACAGTTTAAACCAATTCAGAGTTTAACCTGTAATCTTGGTGTCAGTTGGTGGCTAATAGCTGCCGTGTAATTGTGGGAGGTGCACCAGACCTCTGGCAGGTGCAGACAAGCCACCGAGAACCACGTTCTACGTCCTGGTCTACGTCCCTAGACCATATACCAAACTGCAGAATGCTGCAGAGCCTTCTCAAGACCAACCTTTGTTTCAGATGCCATAGCAAGAAAGATACCATAAATAACTCACAGCAGCTAATCAATTGTGTTGTTTTGTTCTACAGCATTACAACCAATGCCTAAAATACTGTTATTTTGCAAGGAGAGCATTTCAGAAACAAGGAATTATGTGTCAAACAAATAGCACTCCAGATTCCAGCCTCCATCCCCTTTAATTTATGCTAAACACAGTATTTTAAATCATCACTACTTTTATGCTTCACCAGACACCAGATTCTCTGACCTCTCTATCTTGTCAATTCCCACTCTCTCCTCCTCCTCTTCCTGGTTTCCTGGGTAATTTTTATGCATTCTTTTGCCTGTGTCCCTCTTTTCTCTGCTTAGTACAACATAACAGGAGATCGAGATGCTCCTATCGCCTTCAACGGGGACTCTGGATCTGTTCCCTTAACAAAACCTGCCCATCTCACACAGGCATTCATTCCAAAGAAGAGTTACAAGGCATTGACAAGGGACTGCCAGAATACAGAAAAAACCTCAAGCTCGTCTATACTTCCACCACCCCCTTCAGGAACCCCAAGGGAAGGGAAGAGGACACACAGAAAGAGCCACATTTTATGTGTAGGTGGGTTTAGCTCTCAGTTTTGAGCAGAACTCCAACACCAGTGTTGGGCTTGGATTTCCCCATTGGTGGAGGCAGGGGATTGCTGGGGGCTCAATGAACCAGTAGTGCCCAAGTGGCTGTCCCTGAAAGTCCATTCCCAGGTCCAATTAGTGCCTCCAGCAAGGGCCAGGCACCATCAGGACACACCAGTGGAGAATAAGCCAGAGAAATGAGGAACACCAGGATACCTCCCAAACTATCTCTAAGCAAGAATGGAAAGGGGGCCACTTGAAGGAGTGAGTGAATGAATGAATGGCTCCCAAATAAATGGCACTCAGTAAGTGTGTCCAGCTCTCAGCTCAAATGACTCCCTCACCGATGACACAGCAAGAATGACCATGTCTCTTAACCCCCAAGAGCAAAAAGTTTGGAGAGAAAGGTAGAGAGAAGGTCCCCTAAGGCAATAGGTTCTGGCCCCATAAACAGATTAAGAGAGGTCCATCCAAGGCTGTGAGGACTTTATAGTGGCTTGAAATCTGCACTCGCATCCCCTCATGATTCCACACACATCATATGAGGTGAGGGTCCTGAGGAGAAGCCACACTCCTTTCTCCCATACCTAGAAGGATCCTGGGGGAGACGAAAGAGCAGAGCCATCCCAACTCAGGACAACACAAGCCTCTGAGTCTGTAAACTTTAAACCCTTGGGTTGATTCTTTTATAGCTTTGTGGGGTCTTCGTCGAAAAACTGTAACTATATATTTACAGAGTCCTCCAAGGTGATGTTTTGATGTATGTACAGGCATTGCGAAATGAGAACCACCAATGAGTCAACGAACACAGTCATCACCCTACATGCTTTGCTCTCAGGGTCCATTCACGCAGCCACCTTCATCATAAGGACCTTCAACAACAACCCCCCATCTCTCACCCCTACTCTGTACTCCCAACAACCACATTCCACTGTTTCTGGGTTCTCCCTGCCCCCACCTTTGGTGAGGTCTCATTTAGCCCAGGCTGGCCTCAAACGATATGCAGCCCAGGATTATCTTGAACTCCTGATCCTCTGGTCTCTACCTCCTTAGTACTGACACTGCAGGCTTATACCAGCACGCCTGGTTTATGTGCCATGTGCCGCTGAGAATGGAACTTAGTTACGTCCACGACACTTTGAATTTTCTCTAAGTTTTAAGTTTTGATTCCAGCTTTGCCCAAAGGGCTGATGCCCAAAGAACTTAAAGAAAACTCAGGCCTCCTCTGCCTTCCTTCTTCCAGGATATTTCAGTCAAGCAAAACCTGCCTTAGATGCTGAGATTGGTGAAGTTCCTCTCTCTGCCCCTCACCCCAAGGCTGTCAGCCCTGGTCTATCAAAATAAATTCCAAATCCTTGTCACATCCAAACAGACTCTCGGAATAGCACATGTGGGGTGAGGCTGAAGGACAGGCAGCAGGGGCAGAGCCACCTCAAAGGCAACAGACTGCTGAGGCACCCGTGGTTGTTTTCATGGAAGGACATGACCCCAGAGTCCCTGACATGCCACTCAACCCAAAACTCCAAGTCACCTCCCTCCTTCCCTGCCTACCCCACTGTGATAGTTTTCCCCAAGGGAGACACTGCCTCTGCTAAGCCACTTTCTAGTTTACGTCCTCACATTCCTACCTCCAAAGAACACTCTGGTAGTTGCCACTCTGTCTGATGAAATGCTGCATACAGGAATTTTTGAAAATAGTCACCAAATAGAAATGTATACCTTGAACAAATCATTCCAACAGATGCAACTTACGGCATTTATTATCCTCCTCTGGTCTGGGACTTTTCAAGTACTATGCTTCCAGGCTGGGAACTGTTTGATGGTACCTCTCTGACCAATTACATGCTAATTAAAAGACCTTGGTGCGCTGGAGGTAGCAGCTTTGCATATGGATTTTAATTACTGGGATGTAGTTTTGCCAAGAAAACACAAAAGGCTTTTCTGGCTGGATGCTGAGGTGTAGAGGGAACACAAGACTTCCATGGGAGGGGAGGGGAGGGGTGTAATCCAGAGCAGGAAGCCCAGCAGACACCCCCCCACCCTCAACCCCCCCCCCACCTCTGTAATCTCTTTCCAGCCCTGTGTACCTACCCTATCCCTCAATCCTTCATTCAATGTCTCTGGAACAAAGGACATTCTCAACAGTCATCCTGGATTGCACATATCTGAATTGGCCATTTTTTCACCCCTGTGGCCTCCCCTTGATTTGGGACCAAAATCTTTTGTCTCTTCCCCTACTCATAGGTCTCATAGAGCCTGGGGTGGGGGGTAGGAGCCCAGAATTAATTTTTGGCTACCCAGAACCCATTCCTCCGTCTCTCTCCTAGTTACGCCATCCTTGCCATTGTGCAAGGACTGTACCTGCAAAGCAGGAAGATGTGACCCAGGCATGGTCAAATTTAACCCCTCCTGGCCTGGTGTTAGTTTCAAGGCTGGGTACTTCATCCACTGCACACTTAGGAAGACATGTTATTTATCCAAGTCAGAGTGAAAAGCACTGTTCACAGTTGTTGTGGAGAAGAAGAGATCTGAAAAGAGGTGTCCCAGGGAAGGCAGAGCTGAGAAAAGGAAGAAGGAAGCTACACCCCTGGGCAGTTGTTCTGGTGAATAAAGCCATTCTGGAATGAATCCACTCGGAACTTTTTAAGGGACTATAAGTTAATAAGTTATTTTTGTGTTTGCACTGGCTGGCTCCAGTTGGGCTTTCTATCAAGTTACAAATAAAATCATCCTGTCTGGCAAAAATAAGATTGAAAGCAAGACCTTAAAACTGCACAGCCCTACAAAGAACACACTTGAGGGGCCCTAGAGACCTTGGCCATGGCTAAAGAACTCAGAGCTGGAAGAGCTGCTGGAGACAACGTGTCAGCTTCAATGGCCTTTGCCAACTGTTCCCACACAGGTGTGCAGGCAAAGGCTGCTAAAGGAAAGAGGTCCCCCAGCAGCCAAGTGGCAAATTCTTTCCTTTTGCTGTCTCAGAGTCCCACGTGTAGCTGGAGTTCCATAAAGTCTTAACTGAACACTGAACACCTCTAAAATATTCAGCTAATGAAAGCATCTTCCCCCTCTTTTTATATGGCGGACACCTTTTCCAATCCCTTCCCACACGGATGACCTCCACCTCCTTCAACAGTCTCCTTCAGTGCCTTTGTTTGATTGACACTAGCCGCATCCCAGTTCCTCCTGCTCACGAATCTGCCCTTCCAGCTGCTCACAATCTTTTCTTCTTGAGTCTGTGCTGCCTACAGACACTGAAAAACTCTACACCCCTGCATCCTTTCATTTGGTGCCATCAGTTACCTGCCCAACCTTCTCCATTCTTTTCCTATTTTCACAATTACCCAAAATACATTAAAAACACCTGTAGTTTTTTTTTTTTTAACACTCTGCCTACAAGTAATCTCTCCCTCTCTTCCCTCCTCCCCCCTTCTCTAAAATCAATTTCTCATAATTTAGTAATCTTTATCTGGTTAAACAGATGTTTCTTCCTATGGTTAGATCTCAGCTACCTGAAATATTTTTATGTGTTTTTCAGAGATGGGGTTCTCAGGCCGACCTCCAACTCCTAGGTATAAGCAATCATGCTTCAGCCTCCCAAATGGCTGGAATGCACCACCAAACCTGAGGTACCTGACACATTTCCAAACAGCTCAGGGTAGTGTAGAAAGTACATCTAATTGTCTATTTCCTGCCGACTCCTTAGGTTACACGATCAGTTATTTTCACTTCCTGTGACTAAATTCCCCTATTTCTATGACAGATTAATGCCATTTGCCAGCATTTAATGTTAGCCAAGATTGGCAATGCACAGATGGAAAGCTTCATGCAAACGTGAAACAAGGGTACAGCTCTCTGGAGCCCAGCATGCAATTGGAAGCCCTCAAGAATGGCAATAATTATTTTTATATTCCTGTCAGAGTGCCTTGTGAATTTACAGGTTGTCGGAAAAAGAGCTGCAGGAATCTGGATGGGATTCACAAACTCATTTGTTTTCTGGTCCAGGTGAGACCATTTATTAGAATGTTGAGCTGGGAAAGGGGCAGGGGGGGGGGCAGATACTTTCATCGTCTGAAGACCCCCTTTGCAGAAATCTACAGTTTCTCATAAGTATCATTTGATTGGCAGTGTCTTCTATTACCAGAAGTTATTCTGGGGTGAGAAGCAGGAATTTAAAAAAAAAGGTATTTATGATGGTTCAGATTCTAGGCTTCTTCTCTTAATACCATGATTAACTAGATTATTTTTTTCTACAACTCTCTCTTCCAAATATTCAGTTTCAGAATGACAATCCATTATGGACAGAACAATGTACCTTTCCCAGCCTGGCTTCTTTCCTCCACAGGGGACCAATTGCATACACACACACACACACACACACACACACACACACACACACACACCTCCACTACTCCCTTCTTTTTCTCTCTGGCCAGCATTGCATCTGCACACTGAAATTCTACCAGAGATAAGATCCATTGAGCCTTGGAGGAGACAGAACCAGGCTGTGCTGGAATGATCTCCCTCATTCATTCCATTTAATTCTCACTTCTCACACTAAGGCTACAACCACATCAACACAACATGGCCAGTGAATCCCACAAGAGCAGTGTGGGCTGCCTGTCTCCATGCAAACCCTGCTTAATGACAGTAAGAAGGCTGCTGACACACAGGCTGACAGAGACGTCAGACTCACTCCCTTCTTTTTTTCTTTTCCAGCCATCCCACGACCTTGCTGCTCAGGTTAATCCCCTTACTTGATTAACACCTGCACTACCATTTAAGAGCTTCCTGCTCTCTGTTCTGGTTGACTCTCACCAAAATCCACTTGATTACACTGTTGTTATTTGGTTTCTCTTTTGTGTCTTTTTTTTTTTTTTTTTTTTTTTTTTTCTGACTAAAAAAGTGGGAAATGTCCTCCTCACTGATCATAAGAGCTGAGACCTGACAGTTAGAACTGAACTTACAAGCACTTCCCGTGAACTACAAAATCTCTATCCAGGTATGTCTTCATTCAGTCCTCTTCTTCTTTCTCGTTAATGTTATTAACTTAATCTCATGCATACGAGTAATTAGCCTGTACCTATATCTGTGTATCACAGCTATGCCATATATCTGTGGAGTTCAGAAAAAGGTCCCAGACAGTTGTGAGCTGCCATGGATATGCTGGGAATTGAACTTGGGTCCTCTGAAAGAGCAGCTAGTACTCTTAACCTCAGAATCATCTCTTCAGCCCCTCAACTAGTCCCCTTGAAGGGAAATAGTCCCACAACCACACAGGTATGGTGCTCACATCCCTGATGTAAAATGATGTGGTATTTGTGAATAACCCGTATCCTTTTGTGCTCTAAATTTCTGATAATGCCCGACTTGAGGGAAATGCTATTAAATTATTATGCTGTCTTGTTTAAGGAGTTTTCAGTCTAGATTTAATTTTTTTTTCTGAATATTCTCCACCCACAGTCGGCTGAATCTTTGATCATGGGAGCCATGGATACTGAGGGCTGACTGTACTATTTTTATTACCTACAGAAAAGTGCTGAAGGCTAATCACAGGTCTAGAATCAAAACCTCTGGTATCCCATCTCTCTGCTGCTGATGGTGATTGTTCCCACTGTGGCTATCTGGTACCACACAAGCAACTGTCCCTAACTCCAATCTCACAGCTGATCTAAGTCAGCCCACAAGGAAAGTAGGAGTGTGGTCAGTCTCACCACCCTAGGCTCCCCTTCCCTCAACTAACCCTCTGCTTTTTGCAGGCTTAGCTCAGCAGGCCCCTTGCCACATGGTTCCCTGTATCTAGCCAACACTTCATTTCAGAATAATGCATGCCGCCTTCATGTCTAGTTTTCTTACGAGCATCCTTGCCACATCAAGCCAGGAGCTCATTTTCCCCAACATCGCCTCCACAAACGTCATCCATGTCATCTACCCTAAAGCCTGCTTCACACTCTTTTCATCCTGGCGTCTGACATGTGTCTGAGAACATCCCAGGAGACTCACAGTCCCCACCACAGAATCTCCATGTGGGCCTTTCACAGTTGTTCCTTTGAAGCCCTCAGATCGCCCAGTGAACACTTGTCTCTCCTTAGTAACTCTGCGTGAACGCTATTTCCTTCCATCTTTGACATGTGCTTTTCAAGCCAACCGAGATCTGGGTCAAGGGACAAGGTTCACTAATTGGCTTCAGCATGGCTCTTGTTTCATCATGACAGGTGTCAAACTCCCCATTTTATCAGGCTAGAGCCATTCCATCATGGTAGTATCCCCATCCTAGATCCTTTGGTGCTGGTAACTTGCCCCCACCCCAAGCTTAGCTGAACTTTTAAAGTTAAGTTGGCTTTTCCAGCTGTCTCACTCTCCAGGCCTGCACATCTGGAACCATTCACAACGTGGTGGTTGAAATTTCCACTCATTCAAATGGAATGCTGGGGATGGAGGCCCTCGGCATCCCTCAAGTCCAGGCAAGTCACTCTACTGTAAGAAATGCATGTGTCAACAAACATCCTAGAGAGGGCTCAGCAGAGTAGAGCCCTGAACTCAGGACAATGGAGAATGGAGAAGTTCAGCTCTGAGTGTGGTGGCCCTGACAGAAGGCTTGAGCTAAATGTTGTCCCTTCAAAATTTACCTCATAAGAACAGGAATTTGCAGCTGGAAAGGTGGCTCAGCCCTTCAGAGCACCCATTCTTCCAGAGGATCAAAATGTGGTCCCCATAACCTATGTCAAGCAGCTCACAAGTACCACTTCAAGAAGAAATATGAGTTAGTTCCTGTTTACCCCTGGATGGAATAAGCCTCTAGAGCCTCATAAGGTAGGAGTGATATTCTGGTACTGGGTAGTCATGAAATTAACAAATATCTGTAGTAATTGAACCAGAAGGATTGGAATAAGGACTAGTAACGATGGCTCCCACTTACAGTGTATGAGGCACAATTATAAATACTCTGCCTGTTCTACAGTATTTATATGACACCAAAAACATGACAAGGTTGTAGGAGAAAGCCAAGAGGAAAGGGCATGCTCCTAGGGTGCCAACAGCCTTAGTCTGACCATGACTGATGAGTTTCCCAGTCAACACGACTAACTCAGGAAATCTTTAGGAAACCAGAGTAGCTGGTTGGTCAGCTTAGGCTGGTCACATCAACTTGGGCCAAGAATTTCCCTGGTCCAACTAGGAAAAGTGATAATGTCTTTGAATTCTAGTTTCCCCATTAATAAAACAGGCTTTCCAGCAGCACCTCCCTCCTAAGAGTGTGATGGGAGATCAGAGGTAGAAATCCTTGACACATCCCAGGCCCATATCAGGAGATCAAAAAATGTCAGAAATCATTCACCCCAGGAAACTTGCATTCTCCAAAATCATAGAAAGCGGTACAATGGAGATTATGGTCCAGACCTGGACAATTCTAAAGCATATTTGAAGTCCCTAAGCATTCACTACATGTCTACCCAGATGGTGGCTGCAACTGTGGGAAGACAGAAGAGAAGCCACAAAGCAAAGAGTTCAATAACCTGGGCTAGTCACAGACGGATCAGGAGTTTGAGGCCAGCCTCAATTTTATGATGAGTTTAAGGAGGCTTGGGCCCCATGGCACTCTCTCAAACAACAACATAAGTTATGTCAGCTTTCAGCCATAAAAAGGCACCATAGAATTTATAAAACAATTTTTTTCAGACACTACGCAAGTTTTTAGAAAAAGCTCAGGACATGGGTTCCCTGAGACAGGAGATAAAAATAATAATAATAATAATATGAATCCAGGAGCACCCAGCACCCTGTCTAGAGAGGGGGTCCAGTGTCGCTGCAGGGAGGAATGAGTAGACAGGTCAATCTAGGTGCTTGCTCAGGGAAACAATGGCTCAGATACCACCCAGCCAGATTAGAATGATCTCCTAAGACAACACTGGGTACAGTCCCTCAGAGCAGATCTTTCCCTACTGAGCCCAAATTAGCTCTGCTGAAATATTGGCAAACTTCTCCTTTAATACTAAGTATTTCCGGCTGTGGGTCACAGGGTCACTGCTGCAATGCCCTAGAGCTCTGTTGCCAGAGCATTAAAGCAGTTACAGACAAGATGTCAACAGATAGCCATAGTGTGTCCCAATAAAACTTTATTTCCCAATACAAGCAGCTGGACTGTGGGGCATAGTGCAGCAACCTCTGGTTTAGATAAACACTATTCTAGACTTACCCTAACTGTGTTGAAAAGCAGGCTCACCGGGATCAAACTGGTTCCAAGGAACTCGCTACATCCCAGACCAACAAAGTTCAACCAGTAACTAGAGAGATGCAAAACCCCAGCATGCTCCAATAGAGGTCTCACGACATCCAAGTCCAGAGCTGTCAGATCTGCCAGGAAGCAGGAAAACACCACCCACAGTGAGAGACAAGGCAGTCAAAGGGAGCAGACCCAGAAGGGCCACAGGCAATAGAGTGGGCACACAGACGCCAAAGCAAGAGAATGATGCTATGCTCCACACAGAGAAAGGAGAGCATGATGGGGATAGGGTGGGAAGTGGGAAAGGTCACATATGCAAAGAAAACGAAAATCAACTGGGTAAGCTCAGAGTCAGCAGAGAAAAGGGGTTCGTGAATTTAAAATCACATCAGTGGAGCTAGCAAGATGGCTTAGGAGGTAAAGGCCTTGCTGCCAAGTCCAGTGGCCTGAGTTTGATCCCCCAGGACCCACACGATAAAAGTAAAGAACTGACTCTCCTGCAAGTTGTCTTCTGGATTATACACACACACACACACACACACACACACATTTTTTTTTTTTTTTTTTGCACTTACTGCTTTGACTATGAAGTAATTTACTTAGAGGCCTCGTTGGGTGAAATAGTGCGCGAGCCTACCTTCAAATTCCTGACCTGTTTTCCCTCAATGATGGACTGGAATAGCCTGGACTTAAAAGATGGAATAAACCCTTTCTTTCCCTAAATTGCTTTTGGTTATGATGTTTTATGAAAGTACTAGAAATTAAACTAGGACACCACAAAAATGAATTTTATAACATCAAGCTGTAATCCTTAGGGGAAAAAAAAATAAGCTTTTTGGGGTGGGTTTTGTTTTGTTTGTTTTAAGGCAGAGCCTGGTATGGTGGTGTTTGCCTTTAATCCCAGCACTCAGGAGGCAGAGGCAGGTGGATCTCTCTGAGTTCAAAGCCAGTCTGGTCTACAGAGAGTTCCAGGATATCCAAGGCTACACAGAGAAACCCTGTCTTGAGAAACTTTAAAAAAATAAAAAAAGTCTCATCAACAAGCAGCTACAGAAACAGCTCAGTGGTTCAGAGAACCAGAGTTCAAGTCCCAGCACCTAAGTCTAGCCTCCCATAACCACTTATAAGTCCAGCTCCCTGGGGATCTGACAGTCTCTTCTGGTCTCCATGAAAACCACACACACACACACACACACACACACACACACACACAAATAACACAATTTCTACAGATTATTTTTATTTTACATATATGGGTGGTTTTCATGCATATATGTCTGTACACCATGGCATCCCCAGTACCCACAGAATTCATAAAATGGTGTTGGATCTTCTGTAGCTGGAATTACAGACAGTTGTGAGCTGCCATTTGGGTACTGGGAAACAAACCTGGTCCTCTGCAACAAGTGCTCTTAATTCTTGAACCATCTCTCCAACCACAGTAATAAATCATTTCTAAAGGAGGAGCAGCAACTGAGCACGGTGACTATGTCTGAAATCCCACTTCTTGGGACACTGAGGCAGGAGGATCACCATCAATGTGACGTCAGGTCAGCCAAGTCTACAAGTTCAGGCCAGATATGAGCTATGTAATAAAAATCCTCCCTCAAAAACTAACACGGGCTGGTAAGATGTCTCAGTGTGTACAAGCACTTGCTGTATCAGCCCACAAAATGAAATGGCGTTCAAGATATCTGGAATTCACATATGTGCATCTACAAACCCAGCACTCCTACAATGAGATGAAAACAGGAGAATTAGCTGGAAACTCAAGAGGGGCACGGAGCCCAGAAAAGCTGACTTCTGACCTTTACAGGTACTCTAGTGACATACACATGAGTATATGTGCATGTACACACACATGTGTGTGCACGCACGCACGTGCACACACACACACACACACACACAGTGTTACTTCAGAGTTCTACAACTGAGATACACTCAAATCTGAGGTGTGACTTCTCCCCCTTGAATAGTTAAACAAACAAACAAACAAAATAACCTCTAATAAGTCTAAGTTTTGACAAGGATATGGAGTGAGTGGAACATTGCTGATAAGGATACACATAGTGGCAGAGACTAGCAAAACAGATTAGCAGCTTGTCTGCTTATTTGTTGTTTAGTTTTTCTTGAGACATTCTCACATAGTCCAGGCTAGCCTTAAACTCCATATCCTGCCCCCACTTCCCAAATGCTGAGATTCTATGCATACAACATCACACTGATTTACTGACAACTTACCATATGACCCAGAATTCCCAGGAAATAAATAATAAGAAATAAAGCATCTCTCTAGATAGCCTCATGTGTCAATGCTCATGGCCACTTCAGTCACAAAAGCCTATCATTGAAAACCATTTATATGTCTCTCAGTGGGTAAATACATATTATGGTACATTCACACAATGGATTCACAAAACAAATAAAGAATTGCAACAAATGAACTACACATACAGCAACATGGATGAATACTAAGAAGTATCTAGGGGAAAAAAATCAAGCCCAAAAGCTTGATGGGGAGAAATAACAATTAAGATCAGGGCAAAATTTAATAAAACAGAAACAAATAGGCTGGGCAATGGTGGTGCACACCTTTTTTTTTTAATAATTTATTTACCTTTATTTTATGTGCAATGGTGTGGAAGTGTCAGATCCCTTAGAACCAGAGACACAGACAGTTGTGAACTGCCATATGGATGCTGGGAATGGAACCTGGGTCCTCTGGAAGAGCAGTCAGTACTCTCAACCACTGAGCCATCCCTCCAGCCCCTAGTGGTGCACACCTTTAATCCTGGTATTCAGGAGGCAGAGGCTGATGGATCTCTGTGAGTTTGAGGCCAGTCTGGTCTACAAAGCATTTGCACGCATGTGATATACGTGTATATGCTTAGATGTATTTATATGGGTGTGTAGGTGCACTTGTGTGCTTGTGAATGCAGAGGCCTGAAGTTGATATTCTTCAAATCAATCTCCACCTCTGTGGGTATCCACTCACACATACATACATCCATAACATACATATAATTTTAAAAAACAAAATAAAATAGACTGAAATCAGCAATAAGATCAAAGAAGAAAGCAGGAGACTCCCCTAGGGAAAAATATTCCAACTTCTATATTTAACCCATCTCTTAAAGTATTTATTTTGGTTTACATTTTCTAGTATGCATAATATGCTCATACATTAACATATGTATATAATTTATAAGTGAGTATTCAGACACTGAGATCTGTACTTTTTCCCCCTGCTGATAGAGACCCATTTAAAGTCCTTGGAGACTTTCAGACTCCCCAAGGGAAGCCTTTGGTGTGGTAGAAGCAGAAGCCGGATGGTAACAGTTACTGAGGTGTGACTAACAGGCCCATTCCTTCAAGATAGAGAGGAGAGGCGGAGCTTCAGGCTAGGAAAAGGCAAAGGAAGGTGATTGGTTTTAAGGTGGGTCATTTTAGTAAATGTTGAAAGAGTCAGAAACAAGAGTTGAGAGAGAAGAAATAATGTTTTTGCAGCAAGAGATGGTCTGAGAGTCCCTAAGACTCTGTGTGTGTGTGTGTTTATAAATGTATGTGTAGGTGCATTTGTGTGCTGTACATGTATAGGTGCATTTATGTGCTTGTACATGTGGAGGCTCAAAGTTGGCACCAAGTGTCTTCCTCTACATCTGACTCACATGCCTATACACATATACATGTAATTAAAAAAAATAAATTATATCAAAATCAACAATGCCTCTGCCTCCTTTGCATTGAAGTTACAAGTGGGCCACATATCTGCAAAGTGCAGCTTTCTTAGGTTCTGACCACTGGCTCCCCGTCCTGGCAACTGCTTCCAAATTACCACACAGACTTAGTATTATTTATAAATGCATGGCCAATAGCTCAGGCTTGTTACTAGTTAACTCTTACACTTACATTAATCCATAATTCTTATCTATGTTCAGCCACGTGGCTTGGTAGCATTTGTCAGTAGGACATTCTCACCTTGCTTCTCTGCCTTTGCTGGTGACTGATTCCACCCTTCCTCTTCTCAGAATTCTCCTACTCTGGTTTTTGTGCTCAATCTCTTTCTGCCCAGCTATCGGCCAGTCAGCTTTTCATTGGCCAATGAGAGTAACACATATTCACAGTGTACAAAAAGATTATTCCACAGCACACACCTACTCAGCCTTCTCATGGGCTCTAATCTCAATCATTGGCCCTCGAATGTAAGCAGCAAATGGTTTAACCACTGAGCCATATCCCTTGCCCCAAGACCAGGTTTTGCTTTGTAGCCCAAGTTGATCTAAAATTCGCAATCCTCTTGCCTGAACTTTCAGAGTGTTGGGATGACAGGTATGTGCCATCACACCTGAGTGATGGTCTCATTTTTCAATGCCAACATCATGAAAGTGTGGAAGGTGAGAAAGTGTTGGATCACCTGGGACACTGCTTCAGGGGGTCTTGCTTGATCAAACCATGTTAGTTTGAAAGGAATCCACAGCTTTTATTTTCTGTGGAAACAAAAACAGAAATCCTTTCCCCCAGTAACCTGTCCTTGAACTTAAATTTCGGAGTCAAAGCATTTTTAAAATATATAAATTGGATTAATTCAGCAGCATTTATTTTAACAGTTGTTGCTATTTCCTCAGAAGTCAAACAATACAAAGATAACAGAACAGCATATAGTATCCATATAGTATCCAGACTCTTTTGTGCTTTCCATCTTTACGTGGCTTTTTTATTACACTATTTCTTCTACTTCTGTTTTTCCATTTTTTGAGACAGGGTTTCTCTGGGTAACTTTTATCTGTCCTGGAATTAACACTGTATACCAGGTTCACTTTGAAATCACAGAGATCTGCTTGCCTCTGCCTCCCAAGTGCCACCACACTCAGCTACTCTTTTTCTTTTTATTATTCTTTTTAAAATAATTTTATCCTGTTTCTCTTTCAAGCCTACGTATATCTTAGAACACACTGTAAACCTTTAGAGGTTTTTCTTAATCTGAATCTTTCTTTACTGTAAATCTTTATCTTTTATCTGCTAAGCAAGATTGGTCAAATGAACATCATAGCTGTATTAGCCACCGTTTATCAAGGATGGCGGCGGATACTTTCACCACCAGAACTGAGAACTGTGCTCACTGCCTTGGTCT